TCTTCGGCACACTCTGAACCCGTTTCTGAAACCCATTTCATATTCTTCCTGGGTATAGACACGGACTTTGAGTAGAGCCTCAGCATCAGCCAACTTCTTCTGGGTCTCCTCCAAGTCTTCCTTGGATTTCTTCAGCTCATCGGCGAGCTTGGAGGAGGAACCTTTCAGCTCATTCAGCTCCTGCTGAACTTGGGAAGCCTCTGTTTGAGCCTGGGCCACTTCTTCCTTTTTGGCCATCAGCTGATCCTCAACTTCTTGGAGCTTAGCTCTCTGAGCTTCAGCAGCAGCAGCAGCCTCTGAGAGTTGGACATCCCTGGCTTGGAGCATCTCTTCAGCAGCCATTCTGCTGGCTTCAAGAGCTTCTAGCCGTTGCTGCACTTCAGCTTGTGCAGCAGCTCCTTCCTGGATTCGGCTCTCAATGGTAGCCTTGAATTTTTGGAGATGTCCACTCCCATGTGCTCTTGGAGGAATTTTTCCCCTTCCATCAGTGGGGGAAAAACTTCCTTCTCCATAGCGTCGCAGAAGGTTTTGAAGGCTTCAGTAGCTTTTTTCTCGTATTCCTCACCCTTCTGCTGCTTCTCTTCAGCTGCTGCTTGCTTCAGCTTAGCAAGCTTTAACTCCTCTTCGGCTACCTTTTTGTCGTGCTCGGCAGCGTCTACCCTATCTTGTAGGGTATCTATCAGCTCTACAGTGAGAGTCTGATTGTGCACGAACTGAAAACAGGAGTACAAGTTGTATAAAAAATAGAGCTGAATTTTAGAGGAGATAAAGGCAAGGAAAATCACCTGCATCATCAGCAGTTGGTTAGACCTGGCTGGGTCAGGAACTGATCTGCTGGATTCGCCCATCCCAGCAGTGGCCTTCAGCGACCAGATTCTTGCCCTATCTACTTCGGACGTGCCAGCAAAATCGCCGAAGTAGGCTGCAGCACCTTCTCGGTTCTGACCCCATATGAGGTCCCAGATGTGATCTGGGATTGGAATTCGGGGGGCCGAGAAACCCATTTCTCCAGATTGCAGAGTCTGGAAGGAAGGAAAGGATGACGACGGAGCTTCTTTAACTTTGGATGGCTCAGCATCCTCCTTCTTAGAAGAGTCAATTATTATGACCTCTTCTTCTTCAGGGGTGAGGACGAAAGCCTCAACCTCTCTTGCAATGTCTGCCGTGAAACCCTCAGCACTAGGCATCACGGCATCCTCATTCTTGTGCTCAGCAGCACTCTCCTGAACTTCTTCTTGGACCCCTCCCTTAGATTCGGGAGTTTTCTGATCCACCTCCATCTCAGGAGGTGGCGGAGGGGTCTTTGGAGGTGATTGAGGTGGTGGCCGGGGAACCCTCGGCGATCCATTGCCTTCCTCGGGTTCCCTTATTTCAACGCCGATGGTCATCGGCCTCCGCTGAAAGTCATGCGGGCCGATGATGGCCATTCTTCGGCGACTTTTCTGAAGCGGCTGCTCGTCCATGTCTGAGTCTGAAGACTCTTCTTGTATCTGGTCTTCGGGACGAACAGGGGCTTTCCCTTCTCTGTGTCTATTACTCTCTTCAGACTGTAAAAGACAAGGGGGGAGGAAGAATGTGAGTAAAAACAAAACAACAAACAGAAACAGACAAAATTAAGTCTGAAAGCTCACCGAGGTCTTCAGCAAAGCCTCGTCTTCTTCAGCTGCCCTAGCTGCAGCTTCTTCTTCAGCAGCCCTGGAGGACCCTTCTCCTCCTTCACAAGCTTCAATAACCCGTGCAACCTCTTCGGCCGTACGGGCAGCTTCAGCTTCTTCGTCTAGCAGCTGAAACCAGGGATCTCTCTTCTTCCACCAAGGCTTCTGCCTCTGATACAGAGCAACAGCCTCAATTTGGAAATGGGAAGAGTCTAGATGAACTTCCCTATGCCTCGGTTCAGTGATAGAGGGGGCCCGATTAGTTACAACTCGTTCTCGGTTGACGCCAAGACGAGTGTAGTTAATGCCGACGTTGGTCTCGTCTCGCTCTGAAAAAGAAAAGGGGAAAGGTCAGTTCAGTTAGGTTGGCACAGCATAAAAAAGCGAAGTGAGAGGAGAAAAAGAGATAATTAAAAAGCCTCGGCCCCAGCCTAAGAAGCTTACCATCCTTAAACTTTCAGCTGAGGCCGACAGCTGCTAGCATGTTCTCTTGGAAAACATAATGCGTATCGGGGAGCCAAGTCTCCGGGATATGCTGCATTCGGCCGCTGCCCCCCCCCCCCGGTTCGGCAGCTTGCCGAAGATATTCTGTTGATTAAGGTTCGGATCTGGGCCGTTATCTGCGGGGGGACCTAGACTTCCCATGTCGGGATCAGGCTCAGCAAGGTACCGGGGAGCGCTGAAGACGCAAGGGTGGCCCGGGTTCGTGGGTGCCCTAACCCAAATCCATTGACCTCTCCAGTCCTTGTCTGAAGAGTCGTTCGGCCACATGGTTAGGTACTGGGGCCGAGACTCAATCCGGTACCACCCAGAACCATGACTTCCGTGCCCACTTTGAATATTTGGCACTAGCCGATGAAGCTTTTTGAAGCAGTGCAGGTTCGACACATACTTGAAGAACTTGCAGACCCATAAGTATGTCATCACCCTTCGGATGCTAGTAGGAGTTAGCTGACATAGGGAAATATTGTAATGGATCAGCAAGTCTCGGACGAATACGTCCAAAGGGAACCTCAGCCCATACTGAAGTTGTCTTGTGTACACCCCCACATACCCCGGGGGTGGACGATGGATTCTATCGGATGCCACGGGCATTCGGCACCAATACCCATCAGCTTCAAGGATGCCGTAATGCAACTCAATTTGTTCGGCAAACCGATATTGTTCGGCATTCTCCACCCACCATGAGTAGGGGCGGTTCTTTATCATGGCCGAAGCTACTTCGGCATCCTCCCACTCTGAAAACCCGGGGAGGATATCCCAAAGGACAGCGGGAACTTCATCGTCCCGCCTAGAAGCGCTCGGCCCCTCCGTTCTCTGAGGAGGAGCCGAGGAAATTGGAGTCGCCCTAATCCCTTCAGCAGGGTCAGACTCTGCTCTTTGTCCATTCCAGGTCCCAATCCTGTTCCTAGGATCGGGAATTGGCCTTGCTCTTCTTGGAGCACGGGCTCTACCCCTAACTCCTCTCGCCATTGATAATTTCGAAGAAAAAAGTCGAAAAAAAAAGGGAAGGAGTTCGAATTCGAAGAAAAATAAACTAAAATCAAAGGAATTTACCTTAATCTGAAGCGAAAGTTGCCGATTTACGAATTGGTAGTGGCAAGTCTCAGTTTCTAAGCTTAATGCTCGGGGTATTTGCGAAGTTTTGATGCGGGTTCTTGGGTTCTCTCGAGAATTCTGGGTTTGTGTTGGTGAATAAGTGAGGAGAGATGACGCGCCTCTGATTATATCTCCAGAAATGGGAATACGGGGAGTCCGCGTTTCAATTTCTCTTAAATACCCACTAAGTAACCGTTAAACACACGACCTTGCGATTAAACTGCCCATTATCCGTCCAACTTCCGCAATTATCCGCCTTAACTGTGGTTATCTCATTAATTACGGTTTAAATTCAAATTTTTGGATTAATTAAATCATTCACTTCCCTCCTTTTCTGATTAAATCAAACCCGACCCGTCATCCTTCCAAATCGGGTCTGGGGGGCAAGTTGTTTGGGTCCAATTTAGTCCAATTGGGCTTAGGCATTAAATGATCCAATTAAAAGCCCAAGGTCAAGGTTCATCTCTCCAATTGTGCTAAAGTCAAAGATCAGTCCTCAAGGCAAGCCAATTGGGCTAAGGCCCAACTTCTCCATGTATGCAGAGGTATAAAAGCCATCAATATTACATTTGTACATTCATTCAAGCAAAGCCTCAAGCAATTAATTCTCTTGCATAGTGTTCTCTTTCTACGCACTGTACTGACTTTAGCATCGGAGGGGCCTTCCTCGGCAACACCCCCGAGGCTAGTTTACGTGTGTTTACTGTGCAGGAAACCTTCGGCCCAACATTTCTTGGATCGAATCTAGTCTTCACCACTTCATCGGACCTTCGGCAAGGTCCCATTGTTTTCAACCGAAACAATCATTAAATAGCATTAATCACTAAATAATTCCTAGTTGTTGACTTTACATCAACTTTAATGTTTTAATTTATTACTCAAGTAACAAGTAATGTTCTGCCCAATAAGATTTGTTAATTGTTGTACTTTTCTGAAGTATTATGATTGCCTAAGTTAATAATCAGCATATTTTACTCATGGCGAAATTTATAATTGTATCATACTCGGTAATTTTTATATGATCTAGTAGTAATTTAATTATATCTCCATCTTAAATTACTTGTTTCATTTTAATTAATTTTTTTATGCCTCAAATTACATGCTCCATTCTTTTAATAATGTTTTTTTTTATTATTATTATTATTTTTTAAATAAGATAGACTGAAAAATACACCTACACTTTTGAAGCTCTAATTTTACACCCTTCTTAAAAATTTTGTCATTTTCTTATAAAGCAAATAAATGGATCGAAGATAGAGCGAGCGAAATTTATTAAATTATCCCCTTGCTTGCTATATTCAAAATGAAATTTTATTTGAAAGCATTACAAAAATTATGAATGAAGTTATGTTATTACTCTATAGACTTTGTATTATAATAAAGGAATCGACTAGTGAGTAGTAATTACACCACCAAAACTAATGAACTATCAAGGCATTTCATCTACATATAATGTCGTCAGTTTGATAGAAGATCTATTGTTTGATTGTTCCTGCTAGATCCTAATATAATAATATGTCGACCGACTAGCTATGTAACAAATGACACCTATATATCCAATAACAATGCAAATTTTTAACATGTAAGATAATTTAACAATAACCTAATATAGAATACTAAAAATAAATTACGCTTAAAAAGAATACAGAAAAGTTACCTCAATCTCACAAGAATATTAGTCTGATAGAAGGCAGTAAATTGCCTTAATCTCACAAGAATATTAATCTGATCGAAGGCAGTAAAATAATTCACTATTTAGTAAAAATAGTTTTAAACTAAATACGCCCACATAGTTGACAAATTCTACATAAGATCAGGACATTCTACGTTGAAATCTACCCAATTAACGTACTACTACTAGTAATTTAATTTGTTTATACAAATGCAAGATTTAATTAATCAATCAATTAATTAAATAAGCATATTCCCAACTTTGTAATAAAATTAAATAAAAAAAAACCTTATCAAATATAAAAAGGATTCTAATATGAAGCCACCATAAAGTGGCCACCTTTTCTCTCCCCTCTTTTCTCTCTCTTCCAAAAAAAAAAAAAAAAGCTCATCTTATGAAGAGCAAGCTAGTAAGGTATATAAACCATCCATCATATTAACAAACAGTGTACCATATTTTCTACAAAAATAACCTTGTATAGTATATAGTCTCCATTTTTATTTTTCATTATTCCTAACAAAAATAAATAAAAAAAAAAACTTAGCATTATAATTTTATCATACACCAAATTCTCTCTCTTCTAAGTATAGTAGAGCTAAGCGAAACTTATTCTTTACTCTAGGGTGTTGCCTTTGCTACGATAATTTCATTCAACATGAAGATCAGATTATAAGTTTAGCTGAGCTTAATTCTTCAAGCCACGATTTGGTGTCTACACTGGCTAATTAAGCAGGTTTAGATAGCCGGCCGGCCGAACAAGGTCCGGTGTAGGTCATGAGTACTACTTGTACTGGGATGGCTTTCTTCCCAGCTAATTTCATGCTTCAAACTCAAAATGATAATGACAATCATCCTCCTCCTTCTCTCTCCTCTATCCTTCCTCAAGACTTTCATGGTATACACTCTCTCTCTCTCTTTTAAGTATTCTCGATAATTCTTTCTATCTGTCTGTCTATCTATCCACTTGATGTATCTGATAGAGTAAATAAACTAATTCTGCACCTCAACCATTAAATTAGTTTAAGCTGATACTTGAGACACAATATTAGTTTATATATTCTATCAGTATTGTTTTCAAGGATTCTCTCAACTTACTAGATTAAAAAGAAATATATAAAAGTAACTTTTTTAAAATATACTGTCTAGTTACTAGAGAGAATCCCGATCTTTTTATCTTTGGTGTAACTTAATTACCACCTTCGTTTCATATTATTTGCAACGATTGACATAAAATGTGGGTAAAAAATGTCTAATCGTTGCAAATAACATGTAGAATTAACTTTTGTGAAATGAAGTGAACGAGTATACTAATCGTAGATGTGTAAAAATTTTTGGTGTGCAGTTGGTCCAGGAGGGATTGCACCTATGTTAGGGAAGAGATCGATGTCGTTTACAGGGATCGATATGTGCAACAACGAAGACGGAAATGGAAACAACAACCACCACCACAATAATAACAACAATGTAGGAGAGGATGAATTATCAGATGATGGGTCACAATTAGGAGGAGCAGGGGAGAAAAAGAGGAGATTAAATATGGAACAAGTGAAAACCCTTGAAAAGAATTTTGAATTGGGTAATAAATTAGAGCCTGAAAGAAAAATGCAATTAGCTAAAGCACTTGGATTACAACCAAGACAAATTGCTATTTGGTTTCAAAATAGAAGAGCAAGGTGGAAGACTAAGCAATTAGAGAAAGATTATGATCTTCTTAAGAGGCAATTTGATGCTCTTAAAGCTGATAATGATCTTCTTCTTGCTCAAAATCAAAAACTCCAATCTGAGGTAATTTTTTTTAATTTTAATTATTTGGATTTCAATGTTTTTTGTCACTTTTATTTTCAAGTGTTTTGATTATGGGAAACTTGTGCTTCTTCATTTAATTCAATAATTTTATTGCTTTTTTATAAAGATTGTATATCATCATTATTTCTTTCTTTGTCAATTTTTTTTTTTATGGGTTACCTTTTGGGATTAGGTTGATTGATTGATCATGTTATTACTGTATATATGAAAAGAAGGGAAAAAAAAAATCAATTTGTTATAATTAATGCTTATATTTAATAAATGTCTTTGCTATGCTTTACAAAAATCTACATTACATTTTCCATCTCATTTGCTTATTTCAGAATTGTGGGGTTTTCCTATTATTATTACTTGTATTATGATTTAGTTTGTTAGTAAAATTAAATGTGTATTATAATTTGTAAATAATTTCATGTAATTTGCGAATGCGTAGATATTGGCGCTAAAAAATAGAGAGCCAACAGAGTCAATCAACTTGAACAAGGAGACAGAAGGATCAAGTAGCAATAGGAGTGAAAATAGTTCTGATATAAAGTTGGATATTTCAAGAACTCCTACAACAACAACAATTGAAAGTACACTAGATCTTTCAGCCCATCCAACTACCACGGCTGCCGCCGCCACGGCCACCGCCTCCAGAAGAACCTTCTTCCCACCGTCCTCGATGAGGCCCAATGGGCCCCCTGTGGCCCAAGTACTCTTCCAAAGCCCACAACAACAACCACCATCAGTCAAAGAAGAGACCTTTACTAGCATGTTTTGTGGCATTGATGATCAAACTGGGTTTTGGCCTTGGATTGACCAACAAAATTTTAATTAAGTGTTCTTTTATTTTTAATTATGAATTTTTTTTTTTCCCTTTTGTTTGGGAGCAAATATTTTGGTTTATGATCTCACAAGAAAATTAAGTTACTAAAATTTGACATAGTACTTTCATTTCTCTTTTTTTTTTTCTTTTTTTTTTTCTTCTCTTGTTTAATGGCTACTTTTATTTTTGATGTATATTATTCAAAATATCATGTTAAATGGCTACTTTTTGTTACTTTAGATCTCTTAGAAGAAAGTAATAAAGGGTACGTTTTTCTAAATCTTAAATCAAATTTGTAGATTTTTTTTTATATATATGTACATATAAATTTTGATCTCTCGTACATTTTCCACCTCCACCATCTCTAGGTTTCCTATTTGCAACAAAGGTTTCATTTTATTTAATTATGTATAAATTAAAATACTAGTATTAAGCCAATATGAAGATAAGTTAATTTTAATTTATACATAATTAAATATAATGAAGGTGAAACAAATACGATACGTTACGTTTCCCTATTTAATATGATTAGTTTAATGACTATCTCAGATCACATGCTTACTTATTCACAAAATAATATAGTAGAGTGAGAAGAGATAACTAACCTTGGCCTTGATTAGAATGTTAATTTCCCTTCTTCTTTCATGAGAAGGGAGAAGGCCTTGATTAGAAAACCAAGATCATTCCTTTATGTCTCAATGTCTCAAATATAGTTAAATGTTCATAACTCTAACTTTCTATTATTTATATCTTCATAACAATTATACATGTACAATAGGATTATTGTAACCTGTTTCCTATAACATTTAACTATTTCAGATCACAAAATTACAATCACTAGGCTTTATATTTTGAATCATTACATATAAGTTTGAACTAGACTATTTCATGCAAACAAAAGAGTTCATTTTTGACAAAATAACTTTTATCAAGATAAAATAAGTTTAACTAATAACTTCAAGCAAATTAATAAGCTAATTATTGACTGCTTAATTTAACTCAATCCATTTCATACATACAAATCTTGTTAAAGTCTTCCATCAATAAATTGTATAATATTAAATGATGTTACATAGTATTATATTTATTTTCATTAACCCTATAACAATCATTAATTCATCATCATTCATCATCATACTTTAAAAGTTCAATTTCAATGGATTGCATATTGGACAAGATTAGAATGTCATGGTCAAATTATCACCTTTAAATATTAGAGTTGTTATAAGTTTTTATAAAAATGGAATTTATATAATTTAATAATTTGCATTGGTCATACTCATTACTCAAAACGGAGTAACTTTTATAAATAAGGTGGCAAAAAAGTAGGTAATGATCAAAAATGATGATTGCATCAATCACTGCATGTTTTCTTCATGTAATTAACCTTTTTATGGCCATAGGAGAGCGTGAATAAAATCTACTTGAACTTCTTGAAGTTAGTGAATAAATAAATAAACAATTATTGTACTACGAGTAGTAAATTCTTTAAAAAAATTTTGAAAAATAATTTTTTATAAAGAAAGTGGTTTTTTTTTTCTAAATAAAAATAAGAAAGAGTATCAAGCACACGTTCCAAGGGAGGAAAACGACAAGAAGAAGGATGGGGGGAAATCAGGGGGAAGAAAACAGACAAAGAGTGGGAAAGAGTCGCTTTCGTGATGAGGACGTTGGCTCTCTTTATTTTGACAATGAAAGGTTATGAAAGCTTTTTAATTTTTTCATTTTCCCCCTTGGTATTTTTTGAGTTTTTCTATAGTGAAGTAAAAATATACGGAGTAGGGTGAAAGGAAAATTCATACGGAAATATATACATGTATAACGGGTGTATTGTATAAAGTATATAATTTATATAATTATAAAGCTTAAATATTTTTTTTAGAGAATCACGGGCATATAAGGGTATGTGATGAGAATCGATCCCAATCTCAAAATCTCCAAAAATCGAAAGGGAAGAGAAGCTCTAAAAGCTTACATACTTTGTAATCATTAACATTGTAAAAAATTGTTAGGTGATTCAACAATATTCACCTAGTGTACCCTTCATCTATAATAATACATTTAAGTCATCTTGCTTTTTACAATACTTAAACATTACTACCTTCATTCCATAATAATAGTCATGTGTGACTTTTTTTTAACTTTGACCATATTTTTTCGCTATTATATAAAATAAAATGTTAATTAATTTTTATCGGATTTATCTTAATGTATATTATTGTAATTTCAAGTTTTTAGTGTGTTCTATTTACATGATATTTATCTGAACTTATTTGAAATTATTTTGAACTTATTAAAACTTATTTTAGTTGTAATTTATATTTTGGGCAACCTTTATCAAAATTTATTTTTCCAGAATTTATCTTATATGAACTTATCTGGACTATCTGAACTTAACTGAACTTTTCTGAGCTGAAATAAGTGAAAATAAGGTGAACAAAATAAGCTTTAATACGTAATTAAAGATATTAATACTCAAAGTTGGGAGGAAAAAAAAAATTAAGTATGCCAATCATTATATGAACTTAATAAACCAAAGCATATATTGTCTCACCCGACTTTAACTTATTAGGTTTAATTAAACATATATAATTTGAGCTTATTAGTTCTAAACTTATCTGGGATCTTTTTTTTTTTTTTTCTTTTGAAAGAAAACTATCTTGATCTTATTATACTTAAATTACCCGAACATAAGGTGAGGGTAGAATAGAGTCCTAACTCATAATCCTAAACTTATTAGCCAAACCATGAAATTATATTATTCCTAAATTATATTATTAGAGCTTCTTAGACATGTAAAGAAAAATAAGGTGAAGTGAATAAAGCCTAAACTTTAATTTATTATATCAAATATAAAAGTCATAACAATTGATGGGAATTTGAATTGGTACGTTATTATTATTATTTTGGTGCACTTGGATGATTTTTACTGATGAAGTCTTTGTTGCAATTCCTGTTCATTAGAGTATGGTGATGTCAAATATTAATCAAATGGCCCTACTGTCATCCACCATATTCAAGAAGAGGAATCTTGTCATCCAACAAAGTCTTGCAAGATCGATCAAGAGATGAAGGCTCAAATATAAACCCTTTGATGTGGAGGAAATCAAGCCATGTTATGAACTTTCATTTATAAACATATGGGCCATACTCCATTTGGATATATATATATATATATATATATATATATATATATATATATTGATTGAATTTTTTGGGATTATGATTGCAAGTCTACTCATTTAAGTTAGTTTCAATTTTGTATAAACTATATAAGTCAAGTTAATACACATTTCAAAACTTAAATCATATTGAATTTGTTTAAACAAGTTTTTGTATGTTATATTGATGTGATCAAGATCATATAGATACATTGTTCTAATTACATTAAAGCGATTAATGTGCATGATTTGCAAACTGTGAGTAGGTTAACTATCTTCCACATATGTAGTGTTATGTTAATTATGAATAAAATTCTACACAAATTGCTTATTGCTATATTATTTACCTTTTTATTTATTTATTTATTTATTTATTAAAGTAGTCTTATAATTTTGTTAAGTTACAGAGACATCAAATATGCAGGGCCATCTTAAACTTTTTGGAGGCCCTGTGCTATAAAAAAAATATGAAACTTTGATTGCTACATTTTTATCAACTTAAAATTTAAAATAATACAGCTAAATAGGTGAAAATTATCAAAGGGTATAAACAGCAAAAAAAAAATTGAAAAAAAAACTAAGTCAGAGATTAAAATTATCAAAACTAAGCTAAAAAGTGAAGGGGAAAGGATTCAAACAATAACTTGGTGGATGGGGGACACCCAACAGATTAAATGCACTACCAACTAAGCCAACTTCTTGTTCAACAACTTAACCTCCTTAAGATATATATATATATATATACACTATCTGAAATTTCAGATCTTAAGGCCCCAAATAAAATGAGCTACTGTGTTGTTGGGCTGTTTGCATAGCCCACTAGCTGACCCTGCACATATGTATGGATATATTGTGGTAAATTTCTTATAATTTAAAAAAAATTGAATCTCCAACTAATTATCAAGGACCAATTCAATTCCTAACATATCACATGCATTGAACGACCTCTAGCTAAGGGAGTTCTAGACAAAATGACACAATTTAAGGGAGCTCTCACCTTCTCTTATTTAAGAGCCTAATCGAAGGTTTATAGCCACCTCCACACTGTTGTATTACAATTTTGTGCATAATAGTTAGGAAACGACAATATAATACATCGATCTTAATCCATAAAAAATGATCTAGTAAGCAATTGCTTGTAGTTCTTACAAACTCTTACATAATCCACTAGCTAGTGCACGAAAATTCAAACATGTATAGCTAGTGTAGTTACTCGATCATATCAATTCATCTACGGAGTAATTTATTTATAGTAGAATGTATCCTAACATTAACAAATTTTTTAAAAGTGATAAGACATGCCCATCATTTCCTCTCATTTTACATAACCCTAACTTGTACACTAAGTACAACACTACTTGTTAGAAAGCTATATATATCTTTAATTCGTTATGTACCGTTCACTTGAATCCTCCCTATCTGCAATCAAATGAAAAAAAAAAAACAAACAAAAACATTAATTAGCCCTTCATAAAATCTTTTTTTTTTTTTTTTCCCTTGATCTTATTTTGAATTTATTGTTTCATAATCACATTAGCTATTTTTCTGAACTTATTGGTCCTAACTATATATGAACTCATCTTCACCGTTTAAAAAATAACAAAGTAATAGTTGCATCTAATGACCAAAGCATATTATGGAGTATCATAATTTAATCAATTGAGAGGTAACCGAATAATTTTTATATAAAGATTTGCAATTGGAAGTACTACCTGTCCTAGGCAGATAACTAGATTGAAGATGATCTATTAATTAATACAACCATTGTAAGATCATTCCCCAAATATAAGGGCACATTAATCCAGTAAGTGATCTACTTAATAATAGGCCAAGTTTTTTGGGCATTAGTTAATTAAGAATAAAACATGGGATCATGTGCAAAAGTACAAAGATTAACTTCTTAATTAGCAGGAAGATGGATGGAAATTTTGGCATTTTGAGTGTTTATTTAGATGTCAAACAACATGATCTTAATAGTGAATTTTTTTATTGTATAATATTAATTTTGAATCGATCGACATACATAAAGTAGCGAAAGATTAAGTAAAAAAATCTTTACAAAATAAATCCAGATGCCCTATAAGTGGCCACGTGGTTAGTGGTTTAATTGGAATTAATTAATTACCTAATGAAGATTACTATGGATTTTATTGAAGATTTTTGCAAATGCTCTAGGAAACAAATCCTGGCATGTTGGTGGATCATTGAAATTTTATAATCAACAATTGCATGTGGTGGGCACCTGGGCTTGCAAGAACATGGAAGCTCCACAAAGTAATATCTAGGTTTTTTTTTTTCTTTTTTTTTCCTTACCTTTTCTTTATTGTTTTGATTTTTATCCACGAATTTTAAGTATACAACGGGTGTATTATATGCAATAAGTTTAGTCTGTCAAACTCTTGTAAAAGTATGATTGTTACCATTATATTTGATTTAAGTTGAATCTGAGTGCTAATTAAAACGACATGATATTTTATGTCAATCGTACATATATCGTGGATGTATAAATTCAATGTGTTTTTCCACGTACGACAAAATATTTAAAAACAATCAATCGAAATTTGAATGCTGGATACAACCAATTTTCAAAACATATTAACATGTAAAGTGGCCAAGAATCCAAGATCGATCTAAAAGCTAGATCAATTCTTATGGCCGGATTTATTGTTATTTCTTTCACATAAATATTTTGTTACAGTAGATTTACTACTTGTATTATAATTGGTGGGCAAAATTACTGCCAATCATGGTTGTTAGTTGATATCTCAGGTAAGTTTGTGTCAACAGTTTAATTAATTGAAATGTTAATTAATCCTTTTTCTTATTAAGTGTTACGCTAATGAAGTCAAAGTCATCTAAATTTGTATGTATAGATAAACATATTTATAAAAATTTGTGCCAATAACTTTAACCAAATGATTACTCCCTGATAATCTTTGGTGCAGTAAAGCCAAAAGAATATGATTATTTCTTCTCGTTTCTAGAACATATCATACTCAACCCTTGTAAAGTATTACTTCCATCATTTACGTCAGGGGTGGTTAAGTGTAACCCAAACATATACTTTTATCTATGAAAAACTACTAAATACCTCCCACTTTAAGATACCTAAAAATCAATTAAGTACTCCTTTGAGCCCCTCTACATACTCTGAATCTTGCTAACAAACGTCTCCGAATTGTTGTATGACCCTTTAAAATATTTCTAATATGGTATTAATTTGAGAATGCATGTCAAAATCACGCGTTGATCGATGTAATTAATGTTTATTTCAAGTTATTATTTCTACTTTTAATTATCTTATCAAACGTAACGCCCCCGGGACGATCGTTAGCGTTTGCCTTTTTTTTTAATAAGTTCTTATTAATCTTTATAAAATAATAAAAAAATTAAGGTTTATATAACAAAAATAAATAATATATACGGTTAAAATAACACTCTAAACTTTAAAAGGACTAAAAGTTAAAGTAACGCCCCCGAGATGATCGTTAGCTTTTGCCTTTTTTCACATTGGTTTATAGTGAGTTGCAATTAACTATACTTATATACACATAATCAAGGTTTGATTTATTAACAAATTATAAAACCTTAAATGCACCATGTACTACAAAGTATGAGATTCCTCTTTCATAATGAGTTGTTCAATAGAAATGTTGGTTACATAATAGTCCAAATTAGTTATATGTACTTAATTAATGTGTTTATTTGTAAATGTAAAAGTGAAAGTGTTGCGAGATTTTAAAAATTGATTTTAAAAATTGGGTAAATACAAAGTTAGGTCGTTGAAAGACATGTAATCGGGTCATCTAAATTATCTTACTTTTGCGAGCCTCTTTTACCACACTAAGAGGGGGGAGGAAGAAGCAGAAGATAATAAATGTCTGATACAAGTAAGTTAATGAGGTTGGAAGACTACTATAAAATTATAAATTGTTCATTTCCTGTTGATAAATAAGTTTAGTAAGAGCTAATTTGTCTGGGTTTTGTGTAATTAGTTGGGCTTGAAATAAACATTAGCTAGGCTTGGCTTATAAAATAATTGGGCCATTTATTAAACGTGCAGTCTGATATTGGCATTAAAATTAGTGTTGGGCTTTTGAATTATTGTTTATAAGAATAATTGTTTGGCTAATTACTTGCCATCTACAATTTCACATGCCCTATTTTCTTGGCTCAGCAAAGCTACAACCTTCTTTTCCGAACTTGACACTACTCTAAAGATACGAGTATCATACAGAGTAGTACTTTTTGTACTTCATTTGATTATTTGGTCTCATGTCAAAGAGATGATAATGTTGTAAGACTTGTAAGTTGTAACCCATCATTATGCGAGTACTAGATTAGTGTTGTAAGTTGTAATCCATCATTATACGAGTACTAGATTAGTGTTGTGAGTTGTAACCCATCATTATACGAGTACTAGATTAGTGTTATGAGTTGTAACCCATCATTATACGAGTACTAGATTAGTGTTGTTCAGTGTTTAGCAAATTGGAAAGTAGACTTTAAGAGCTTTCCAATGATATAATACACGCCTCAAACAAAGCTCTGAATCTCAAGTTATGACTGTTTTAAGACAAGTTACGCGTGCAGTAGCGAGGCACGCCCGTGTCTTGTGGAGGCACGTTGTGCCTAGAAGACTCCTATACGATTTAGCCCGGATAGTTTCCTAATTCTATCTAAACTCCTAGCTTTATTATAGATACTCCTTAGCCTTATTATTTCATAACCTCATTACCCATTACCTTAGAATCCTAGTTTTCTCTCTAGTTTTATTTTATTAATTCAAGTATTATATTTTCTTCTTCTCTTTCTTTATGTTAATTTCTTTTATTATGTTAGTGTAGATTATTATTCTAGGGTTAGGTTGAATCCTAGCCATGATTGATGCTTGATCTATTTTTTTAAATTCTCAATTAATTGTTTATATTGTTCATGCTTAATTGATTGTGCTTATGCCAATACTAGATTAGGGATGATTGGTATTGTTATTATTCCATTGTCTTGATTGCAACGGGAGTTGGGTTTTGACGGATTTGAATAGATCAATTAAGGGTATGAAATTCTCCATGGAAGTAGGTAGAGCGGATTATTAGGAAGTTAGAGTGCCGGACTTAATGTCTTTAATTTGCATGATTCCACGGAAGTAGGTTTGATTGTTAATTAGGGAAGTCATTGACAACTCGGGAGAGATCTTTGGTATTTTATAGGGTGTACCTTTCCTAGTGAACATATAATTAATTGGTTGGGGTAGGAATTTGTCTTGTATTGATTATGCTAGTGGTGATGCTTAATTCTAGATGTTTTTATTATTATTTGATTCATATTTGATATTTCAGTAGTCGTAGTTATTTTAATCTATTATTTTATCTCTTATCTAGTTTTGTCAGTTGATTGTTAAACAAATAAACAACCTTCACTTTGTGGGATCGATCCTGACTTACCCTACTACATAATTAGGAGGTCTGGTTAGGTCTTATTTTTGTTAGGTGTGCGATCGCCTACCAAGCGGGAATCATCATCAGAGACAGTACTGGGACAGTTGCTGGAGTGTGCACCTTCAATCTTGGCAATACCAAGGTTTTCATAGCAGAAGCTACTTCACTTCACCAAGGCATTCTTCTAGCTCTCGAAAAAGGGATCAAGAACATTCACACCAAAGGTGATAATCTACTAGTCATCAACTCCGTTATAGGTACTTGGTCAATTCCATGACAGATTCGAGCATATCATTACAGACTTACGCTACCTCCTTAGCAAATTCGACAAGTGGAGCATCCGACATAGTTATCGAGAGGCAAATAGAGCGGCAGACGGATTTGCTAATGTGGGTCATTTAGTTATTGATAGTATGTACATTAATCCATTTAACAACTCTTCTTTAATTCCTATCCTTTTTTCAGACGCATTAAGAATCCCCCTTATGGGGAGGGTTTCCTAATGTTGCCTATTTTTCTTATTTAAAAAAAAAAAATTAACAATGATACTAATAGCACAATTTATGCTGTTTGCCGTTTTATCACAAACAGTACAAATTTACCTTTTAATTTGCATATTTCGCTTATCAAAGGAGATAAACCGAGGCTTATTCGAAAAATACGTCAAAAAATCAAACCTTAAAACTTCATGTTGATTGGTTAATCATAAGCCACGTCAATTCATTCCTCAAACTCCATAATCCACAAAACACAAAAAACCAAAAAAAATGCTTGAAAAAACACAACCTCATCCACTTCCTTCCTTCACTAAAACCCACCATAACCATGTCAATCTCCGCCGCAACTACCGCCATTCTCTCTCCTCCCTCCACCATCAAACACCACCACCTTCTCCCTCACCCTTCAAAACCCACTTCCCTCTCAACCCAGCCCATAACCCGGCCCATAACCCGAATCCAAGTCTCCTCCTCTCCAACCAACAAACCCATTACTGACCCCACCTCAAAAACCACCCAAGAAACCATCTTTTTTGACGGAGGTGCACATTACGGAGACTTACTCGCAAATCTTGTTCTGGGTTTTACTCTGTTTTGGCTTCCCTTAACAGTAGCAGCAGTTTCAAGGGCATTTTTTCTGAGGTACAGGTTTACTAATTTAAGGGTTACTGTAATTTCTGGGTTAACTGGAGATGATAGAAGTGATTTCTCTTATAATGTGATTAAGGATGTTCAGGTTGTTCCTAGGTTTATTGGGGAATGGGGTGATATTATTATTACCTTAAAAGATGGGACTAAAGTTGATTTAAGGAGTGTTCCTAAATTTAGGGAAATTGCTAAGTATTGTCTTTCTATGGCTCAGAAGCCTGTTGTTCTTAAAGAAACTGGTTCTAAAGGGTTTTGATTCATTGGACTAATTCAGGAAAATGAGGAGGTATGTAAATTTTTTGGTTTTGGAGGTTTTATATCATGTTTTACCGGTTAATTGTTAGCAATATACTGTAATTCTGTTGTGAATTGAAAGAAATTTGAATAGATTTTGGTATTTATGCATCAATTTTGTCTAATTATGTAATTTAATGTGCAAATTTCAATTTTGATATTTTGGATGATGGGTTTTATTTTTGGGTTGTACTTTGATGAACTATGAGTATCTTTGGTTGAACTCATTACCCCGTTTGGTAAGTGGTAATAAATGGTGTGATAATGGTAATGGATTTATTTGTATAGAGTATATATTTTTATGAAAAATTAATGTCTAATGCCATGGTAATGCTATTTCGCTCCAAATTTATAAGATGTTGTACTTGGTGGTGGCAATAGACATTTATGAAGAAATACACAAGTTATGGAATAGATTGCAGTATTATGGACATTAATTCCCATTAGGCCATTACCATAATATACAACCAGCTACCAATCAATTCGTATATGTTACTTTGTATTGTTAATTTGGCAGAACTTGGTTTGAATTAATAAATTTTCCATCGGCTTTGCATTTTAAACATCATGTTTTGAAGAAGTTGCTCTATTGAAATAGTTTATTTAGGATCTCTACTTTTAGACTTTGTCTTCCCAAAGTATGGGAATTAAGGAATAAGCTTTAAGCATGATTTAGAATTTTAGATTGTCCAATAATTTTTAGTTGGTAGATTTCAGGACTAATGAAAGTGTGTTGCTGTTTAGAATTCTTTCTCTAGATCATTTAAAACTAGCAAACTAGAATATCACAAGGTATAGTCCACCCTTGCACAAGATATTCTTAGTCATTCTATGATGTTATTGTAGGCTTGCACCTTTGCAGCGTCAAGCCATAACATGATTGATCATACATTCATACGTACGTGTGTTTCATGGTTGTTGGAGACTTTGCAGAAACTGGAAATCATTGAGTGTAGCTTATCTTAAGAATTGTTAGTGGGAGTTTCTGGCTTATATAGAAGTCAATAGTGGAAAGTTTTCTCTACTCCGTGTATATGGAAGATGAATTTTTGTATTGCATGTTTGATAAGGAAATTGTTGAATGTAGCTTAACCTGAGAATTGTACGTTGGGGTTTCTGGCTGTAGTGTATTTAGAATAATCGAAAACTTCCTACTGTGGAAAATGAATACAAAGACAGCCAGTATGAAGTCTGATGCAATTTGTTGAAAAAGGGAAGTTAGCATCAACTCTTGTTGGTGCAATGGAGGATAGATCATGGAGCATGTGTGAGGACTGATCGTCCTGCAGGTTTGCAAGTCTAATCACTCGCAATAATAAGCAGCAAACACCATTCGGTTACAAATGAAAAGATGAAATGGTATCTCATCTCTGAATTTTGCAGCATCATGATCCAACCTAAACATCTGAAGCATGTGATTATTCGTTTTTGTTGTCAAATTTTCTTAGTAGTGTCTACTGTCTAGTAATGGTTGTTGCGTGACTGAAATTTTAACGTAGCCTATAGCTTGAGAAGATCCATTCTCCGTCATAAGCTAGAATAATGTTATTAGAACACAGGTGTGTGCCCAAGTGCTAGGTTTAGTCTATCATACATGCCAGACTATCTTTGATCCGGCATGAGATGCTTGAGATGAATTAAAGTCCGAGTAACATAACTTGTGGGAAACACTGAATGGATTGAGTTCACTATCATCAAATAACAAAGAAATGCAGAGGATGTTCTTGAGTGATACAACAGTCGGTTTTATAGAAACATTCAACACAATTTTAGTATTTCAAAGGCCTAAAGTTCCATGAGATTCTATGGGCCAATTGACACACTTTTGATTTGTTGGGGTAGGATTGCAACTGGAACTCAATCTAATGGGCTGGGCCATAATTGCTAGCCAAACTGGTATCAAAATTGTGGGAATTTTGTCATTCTTGATGACTATGGCCCCCAAAAGGTTGGCGGGCAATCTATAACTAATTTCAAAATGTAACCCATATAATGAAGTGTTATCTAGACCTGAAACCCATCTGAAAATTTAAATTCTTGAACACAATTTTAACCCTAAACTAGCTTTTGATCTCGGACGATATACCAAGTCATTGGATGGACAAATTGTCTGATCTTATGACCGACATTGATGTATGTATGTATTTATTTCTTTCAATTATTGAAGTTGTAGTATTTAATTTGGAAATGAGATAACGTACGATTACATACCCAATAGTTATACTATTTTCATTCAAACTTAGAAATTGCATGTACGGGACCTATAATGATTATATTTCTAATTTTTTAAATGTAGATGCATGATTCGGAATTAGGGAATGGTACCACATGGCAACTAAATTTACTCGAGAACACATTTTAATATATGAGTATAGATAGATAAAAAGGGAATTGTAGCGAACATAAATTTAACCAACGAGAATCCAATCTAGCCGACCGCCTTGACAGGTCAAGTTCTTAGACTGGTTACTACAGCTGAACCTTGTGGCTCCACCATTCAGCTGTTGTAACTAGTGATTGTAATGTGATTCTGCAGTTTCTGTTTATATATGCTACTTTTGTATTTCATAAGTACAGAGTAAACACTCATTAGTAGCATCTTTCATCAAGCGTTGTCATAGAAGTCCTGTTTTGGAGCTTTGGAGAAAATCATTATCAGATGTTAAAGCTGTTTGGTTAAAAATGTTTAATATTGTTTATATCAAAATCAAATTTTATCCTTAAACGGTAAACACACTAGTCATGATGTAAGGATCTTTTACTTCCTAAAATTGACAAATTTGCTGTTCAAATTTCAGTCAAAGTATTACAATTAAGGAAGGTAATCATTTAACTAGGAGCCTCTAAATATGATTAATTTTTAGTTAAGCTGTTTTATTTACCCTTCTTGATCATTAAAACATGTTTTGGTTTGAATACTGGTAAATTATTCCTTGTATTCCATTTACTTTTGATCTTCAATTGATTATGCATAAGCGCCTCACCCTCATCCCAATTCTAATTTATGATTTGTAGTTTATAGGATGCTCCTTTGATACTAGATGGCCATGCAACGATATATATTTTACTCCTTTTGGTCGCAATTAGCTGTCACGTTATGACAATTATTACTTTTTTTTTTTTTTTTTTTTTTGTATGTAAGGATATGGCATGATTTTACAAATATATGTTCACCTTCATTGTATTTGAATAGAAAGACCCTATGAAAGTATTTTTCTAATCGCTGTTTTCGAAATGAATGATAAGTGATCCCTCTCAACGTCTCTTTTGTGAGCCCTGCTTCCACAAACATGACATGATGGATGCTGCTTGAGGATAATGCTAGATTATACATTCAGAAAGAGAATGATTAGATTATGGGGATGGCCAAGTTTGGGCTCCCTTCTTGATCATGTCATGTGATTACATTGCATAATCTTTACAAATAATCACACATATATACATATATTCTCCTAAATTAAATACTGATCACACCATATACTATAAGATTTAGTACATAGTGTATTATTCTTGTCCTTTTAAGAGATATTTTATATGATTCACATCTTATTTTTGTATTTTATGTTAATGATAACTATTTTTTTTTTATATGGGACCTTATTATGGTAGCACCATATATTATAAAGATATTCAAATAGATACCCTTAACCCCCCTTAAGGCCTAAGTTATAATTTTGTCAGTGCTTCAAAAGCTAAGAAGGGTATGGCCTCTATGCATAAGGGTCATGCCCCATATAAATTGGGATAGTCCATCAATTGCTACCCCCTTCTCTTGCAAATTGGCAAAGATGAAAAGGGAAAGACATAACAAATATACTGTACAAATGGACCGACCCTTAATTTTGTATGAGTAACTTTCTCCGTTTTTTTTTTTTCATTTTTCTAACACTGTCTCATGACACGAATTTTGAGAAACCAATTACTACGTAGATAATATAAACAAACAATTGTTGTCAAAACTAAATACATGTAAGAAATATGCGTAAGAGTACGAAGTAGGTCTTAAATATTTTGGTTAAGTTTGTGATCCGTTTATCTTCTCTAATTACTTCCTCAAATGTATTATTTTATGTTTGGGAGGATTCAGAAGCTAGGCCTAGTTGTTTGTTGTTATGAAACTTTTGACCAAGCTGCTCTGTAAATTCCTCTTCTTGACTTTTTTTTTTATTTAATTATATATATTTCTGCTGCTGATATTACACAGAAAGAAAAAAAAAAAAAAAAAAAAAAAAAAAAAAAAAAAAAAAAAGTGGAGTCTATTCATAGGCATGCCCAAAACCAGGGCCCTTGGAGTGTATGAGCTCTTGTAAGAGCACATGATATTTTTATTGAAAGGTGTTGAATGAAATCTGACCATTTTAGTTATATTTGGTATATTGCTTTTAGTCTTTTTGTTATCTGTTCTTTACTTTCTGTATGTCTACCATTTTTACTATGTTATAGACTTAGCTTGCATCATTTTATTTGCTTTCATGATAGGACCCTGGAAATGCAAAAAATAATTGTTGCCTTTTGTTTATTTACATATTTGTCTCGTATTAACTGGAATTAGGATTAGGTGAATGAAACGTGGATAGATTAAGGCTCACTTAGATTATTGATGTTCGGGTGATAATTCTTTGAATTTTCTCTTTTATATTATTGCTTTTATCCGAAAGATGATTTGATTAGCTAGGATGATTAATTTTAAATCAATATATGATAAAAGATTATCAATATTATTGCTTTCATTTTAATCACTTTATATTTTAGTAGTTTTCAAAAGGCACCACATTAGATAACTCATGTCATCAATGGAAATATGCAAATATCAAATGAATTTACTTAGGCAAATGTTAAAAATGATCAATCTTAAACTTGGTGATTGATGACATTTGGAAATCTATTGTGTCCTAGTATGTTTGGTTGGTTAGTAGAGAGCATAATCTACATTGTAAGTTGTAAACTCCAAATTACAAAAACCAAAAAGATGGTAAAGTAGGGAACAGTTACCATTAGATAGTGATGATGGTGTAGGAATCTAACATAACTCAAATCAAAACTTTTTCACCAATAAAAATTAGATTTTTTAACTGAATTTTATTTGATAAGATGGATCAAAAATTGACATGAGAA